GCAGTGTCTTCCACATATTGACGGAGAGTAGAGACGACACAGAGATGAGGGTCCCAAGGGAAGAAAGGGTAGAAGACCGAGTGAGAGTTGGACTTAGTGCGTCGTGAGATCTGAAAGGTAACTCCCGCCGGGCAGAAGGTAAAAGCATCGGCGTCGGATACCCGTCGGAAGGAGACTAGACAGAGCAGGAAGGTGAATTTTGCGGTAAGTTGGCGGAGTGACAGGTCCTTGTTAGGAGGCCAATTTCGTAAGAATTGCAGCACCACGCCAACGTCCCAAAGTCTAGAGTATTTGGGCTCCGGAGGGCGCCTAAGGCGCATGCCGCGGAGGAGTCTGCAGATGAGTGGATCCTGACCAACCGGAGACCCTTGGGACGGAGTATGGGCCGCTGAGATGGCTGATCGTACCACGTTGATGGACTGGTATGACTTCCCGGCCATGAACAGAGAGGTCAGGAAATTCATGATGGAATGAGTAGGTGCAGTAAAGGGATTGAGGTCCCGTCCCATACACCAACTGGTCCAGGAGTGCCATGCTGATAAATAGCATCTCCTTGTTCCTGGTGCCCATGAATCCCAAAGGAGGTCCCTAGCTTCTTGCGATAGGTCCTCGGTTCGCCAGGAACCCTGGAAAGCATCCAGGCCACAAGGGACAGGCATTCCTGCATGACCAGTGGGTGAGGTAGACCTAACGGGTTTGTGAGGATAGTTGGAGCATCCGGTAGGAGGAGGGGGTCCTTGATTGACAGTTCCAGAAGGTCCGGGAACCATGGCTGGCTCTGCCAAAGAGGCGTGACGAGGATTATCCTTACTCCCTGCAGGCGGATCAGGTGAAGGACCCTCGTTATCATCGCGAAAGGTGGGAATGCGTAAGCACCGAACCGAGGCCATTGTTGTAGGAAAGCGTCCGTTGCAAGGCTCTCCGGGTCTGGGAGCCAGCTGAAGAAATCCCTTGTCTGTCGGTTGTTGTGGGACGCGAATAGGTCTAGGGAGAGAGGTCCCCTCTGTGCATCCAGTATTGAGAAAATATGAGGGTCTAGTTGCCAATCACTGGCGTCCCGCCAGTGGCGTGAATACCAATCTGCCATCGTGTTGGAATCTCCTGGTAAATGCTCTGCCAGCAGGGTGATGTTGCTTGGCAGGCAGTAATTGAA